CACTATCAGGCTCAGTCTTCATTTGGGTTTCAGTAATTCCTCTTGGTTATGTTACCTTTGATCACACTCTACCAGGCCTCCCACACCCTCCTCACCATTGATTTGGATCACTTGTTGTTCCCTTGTCCCTGGGTTTGTTAACACCACTACCTTTTCCCCCACCTCTCCCTCTCCCATGTCCCCCCTGAACTGTCGGTCCTGTTGTTTTCTCCTCTAGATTGTTCATCCAGCCTATCTTATTTAGACAGACCTGCGGAGATATTAACATGCACAAAAACAAGACAGAGTATAAAATATTCTGAAATTGATGATGGCAACATACACATAAATGTGCTTGATACAATTGCTGTATGGATTGTTATAAGAGCTGTAAGAGCCCCCAATAAAATGATTTATAAATATAAAAAAAAGAAGTGAAAGCAGAAAGTTTTATTAAAAGGTAGAGAGATTCGTAAAATGGAAATTGCCAACTGGCCAGGTATTATATCCAAATTACAAAAGCACACTGAGATTTTTATCAGGAGAAGTTAAATGGCTACATGCTTGCAGGTAAAACAGGGTACACAACAAGAAATTACAAGAGACATTGTTAAACTATATGTCTTCTTAATACCACTAGTTGTGTTTCTAGCCTCTAAGAATATGTTGGTCAAGGGATTCTTTTGGACTATAACAAGCAACATCCAATAAAAAGTCCCTCACACAAGCTACAATCTTGACCCTTGCTCTTTTAAGATTACAAATAGTTAAACTTTTATAAGAACAAATTGTCTTTTTAGAATAACGGAAACAGATTTTGTTTAATTAAAACTGGAGTTTGATTTAGATCTCTCTCAGCCATCTTAGTCGCATCCAACATCCAAATTTTGGGGTCCACATACAACTATAATTGCCCATCTGAAAGAACATCCTGTCCCCATCTGCTAAATTAACTCAGACTTCTGTTAAATTCCCAAGTTATGCAGCATTGTTTTACGTGTGATAAAACAAGTCTCGTCTTGCTGGGTATCCACCAACCAGACTCCGCGGCTGTTCTGCCTTCTTTCGCCAAGCACTATTTTCAGTTCACTGGAGACGCATTGGGCTGCTCACCGCAAGGTCAGAAACCCTGTAGAGCAGTTCTGCTCTGCTCTCCAAGGGCACTAAGAACCA